GCCTCTTTTCGAACCCACACATTACCTGAGTCTCATTATGGTTTAGATTTCAACCTAAAGCATACTTTGCCAAACTTTAGCTTGCTGAAACATAAAGGAGGACCAGTAGTCCGGAATCAATTGAATGTAGAAAACCATTGTAGGGACAAAGAAACTCTTTTCTCCATGCGAACTGGTGCAGAATTATTAAATATTGTGTGGGAAGCAGAGATCCAACCATGTATCTTGATACAGAAGCCACTTTGTAGTGACATAAAAATGGAGTGTCCTGATTGGCTGGTGATACAATCTGATTTATCAATTGACAATTGTAAAAGCACGTAAAGTCTAAAAGGAGCCATTTTGGCAGCTTGGTTTCAATAAAAACAGTGAATGTTTGATTTCTGAAACTTGCGATGTTTTCATAGTAAAGTGACGAAAGATAAGAGATCAGTAGATGAAGGGAAATTACATTTTCTGCACATTACCCGATTTGGAAGTAAGGTTACATTGACGTTACATAAAGTTACATTGACTACGCTTACATAGACATCAGTAATCAACTTATTAGCCTTAATCTGAATAAGACAATAATATGATTAAAGTGTTTACATAAGTTGCTTTTTTTAATGTTCTTTTTATGATCTCGTTTACATGATATAGCACATGATTCGATTAACATCATTGCTTCACAGAGCTACCTGGATCTGTGTTTCAGGGCTTTCATTTAATTTTTTTTCGACTTTAACTGTAGTTTGGCACTTTCACTTTCATTCAGAAACATTTCATGCATGCCCCCCATTACAAACGAGACGTTGCATGGGAGTATGAACTGCTGGAAGTGTGTTGTTTTTAATGGAACTTGATATCGCACACCATAGGGAGCGCAGATTGCCAGATTATTGCCACCATAAGCAAGTCTCGAGCCTAAAGGCTGATTTAAACCATGCTCTAAATAAAATCAATGGCACGCGATATATTTTACACAATTAAAGGCTTTTTTTTGTCCTAACCAACACCTCAAATTGATATATTAGAAACAGCTGCTCTTTCTCTCAAGTGAAAAGCACGTATACAGACATTTTCAAAGCAGAATATCTGACTTTAGCCTTGTTTTTTTAGATGCTCACTTGGCATGTTTGTTAAATATCTGCAAACCATATTATGGTATTTTTATGCTTTAGAAGAGTCAAAAACTTACACACAGCACCTATAATTTGATTTCTGTTTAGTTCAATTATGACTTTAGTCAGATTAAGGTAATCAAAAATTGCTGGTCTACATGGTAGACTCTTAATCAGAGTATTGTATTAATCATATCAAATCAGATTATTGGTGTCCATGTAAACATTGTGACGATAGCCTTATAGGCAGTGTGAGTTCAAGCATTTCTTATCCCATCCCTCTCTCCAACTTCACTTTCTGTCTAATATACTGTCCTATAGGTCTGGGTGATTTAATAGAGGTGATTTTCATGTGCATTATCTTAGTAAAACTAGTTCTAGAAATTCTCCAGCACGTGCATTTAGATGAAGTGGAGTTTACTACACAGAGTCATAGGATACTGATAAGCTACGCAAGAATTTATTTTAAATTTGAATTTGGCTTAAACTGTTTGAGGTAATCATTCTGTGATAATCACAGCTGTTTGCATTACTCATCATTGAATTTCCTGTGTTTCTTATTGTGTATTCAGACAGGTTTTTGGGTTTCCACAATGAGTGCCGAATGGCCTTAGGATGAGATTTACAGCAAATTTCAACATGCTCATAGTAGTTTTTTCAGATTTCAGTTGGTTAAACCACCAAAGCCCTACTGTCCAATAATAATAATAAAGGCAAAAGCACCAAAAAAAGTTTAAAGTTCACTCTTTACATAGGTATTATGGATTTGTATCAATGTTCATTCTCTCATGTGGATCTCTCCCCACACTGTCTTCAGCTGGTCCAGTTTAACATCTGATCTGAGCAGTAAGCACTGCACATTCAGCCTTAGGCATGTGTTTGTCACACTCCCTCTTTCTTACTTTCCTCTGTGGCATTGACATCCCTTGCTCTCTTTCCCCCCCCAATCCATCCCTCAGAGACACACACACACACACACACACACACACACACACACACACACACACACACACACACACACACACACACACTGCTCAGTTCCTCTTGGTGTAGCCAGGCGAAGTCCACGTGTCCTCACTATGACACATCTACACCACACAATTTTCTCTCCTGCCACCACAGAGAGGCCATGTGTGGTGCTGTTTGGTTTGATTGACAACTTCTAGTCTCACACAACCACACTCACCAAGCCATATTCACAAAGCACTTAATAGTGAAATACACACATGGTGACATGGAGTATAGCAATTAAGAGTAAATGCAGTGAATTATTCTTGTTACAGTTTTTAGTAAACCCATGCAGATTAATTGTCCCTCAATATGAGCTGACCTTCCTCCAACTTCACAGAATAGACTATGTGCCATCTTTATAGGTCCTTAAAGCTTTGAGCTTGCCTATGAACAGGAAAAGTCTTTGAAATATCCCATTGTTAAGCCTGAATAGATCAGTGGGTGATGGCATATGTAGTGGGCAGTTGGCAGAAACTGAACCTCCCCTGATTTTTAGCAGTCTATTTATTTATGATGACAAGTAAATTAAATTAGGACTTGAAATTAGAACAGAAATTAGTATTTGGTGTTCAAATACTTAAAAAAATGAAACAACCTTTAAAATGTAAAAAAAAAAAACAAGAATTTAAGCATCACAGTATTTCCTAAGGATTTACAATTAACATTTACTTTTTAATGTTTTGAAATTAAAATATACAAAGTAGCTCAATTGTTATTGTTAAAGTAAATAATTAATCCACAGGATTTGTTTTGAAAATCTTCAATGAAAGTCCATTGCTTGTATGTTTGGAGTGACAGTCCTACTGTTGATAACTTGACATCAACCCAAGCAACTGCATATTAATACTATCTATTACTGTTAGTCAGAGCCATAAAGAGAGAGAGTTGAGACAACTACGTTGACTCCTCACACCTGCAGCTTCTCCACGATGGACGTTCTCCAGCCTCCGGCGCCTAGACTGCAGCGCTGCACAAGAAGTTTGGCCAGAGGAGAAACGGTCATGCCCCACTGGCTTGCTTGGTTTGGTACTCGTAGGGCTGCCCATCAATGGATTTCTCTTCAGTGTTTGGACTTTCAGCAGCGAAATTTGAACCACATTGAAGATTGAACTGAACTGAACTAATCTGAACTTCAACTCTGAAGACTGGACTGACACAGTTTTAATTTAATAGAACTTCTATGTTAAGTTGCTTTGGCACATTCTACATTGTAAAAACGCTATAGAAACTGCTGATGACGGCTGGTTTTGCACTTTTGAAAGGTAGAAAGTTTCTAAAAATAAGTTTTTACATGATCTAACATTTGAAATAACGGTGAAGCACTTTCTGGAACTATTTAGGGCTAAATGAATCACATGACAATTGAACATTTTGGACTTTAGTTGTCGCAATTCTCTCTCTCAATGGCTCTGCCGTTAATTTACTCTGAGGGAATGATGCGCAAAAGAAAACTCTGTCTTTATTTCAGTTGGAACATCAACATACTAAATTAAAAGTCTCCGCAACTTCCAGTTCACACAGATTTGTTAATGTTTTAAAAGCCCTTCACCATATTCAAAGCAAAATTTGATGAAATACAGTTTGCAGTTTACTATGAAGCTATCGGACCCCTTTGAATTCTACATAAAACAGTAAATTGAAAAATGCTGGAAAATTGGGAGGAGAAATAGCCCAACTGACTCCGCATTATTACTACACAATGGCTGTTTCTCAATTCCAAGAACGCTGAGAATGGACTTGTGTTCTTGTGTAGACCGGTTTTGCGAGGTCACTTCGGAAGAACAACCTTCAGAGACTGTGAGAACACTGAACGTGTCTTGTGAAAAATGAGATACTGCGTTCTTCCTGATGGTCACATGACCTTTACGCATTTTTAACGGAAATTGTTTAAACATTACAGCATATATACAATGATTTTTTTCCTCTTTTCAATATACAGTATATGTAACATGCACAACAACCAAATATACTTTACACAATACAAATAACACAGATTTTAATATTAATTTCAGCAAATAAACACCTTTAATGTTTTTATATTTTTATTCAAATGTTCATGTTAATGTTTACTTTCGCCGTCTCATTTAGGGAAACTCCTGAGATAAATAAGTTATACCTCTGAACTTTAGTAATAAATCTTAATAGGATGGCGTGCTTCACTTCCTTTATTCAGTTGCAATGATTTCTGGGACTTCTAGATCAAGTTCAGTGCTCAAGTCTGCATCGATGCATCTTCGATACGAAGAACACTCCGGGAACTTTCACACATCTTCCGTTCTTGCGGACTTGAGTTTTGGAACTGGACTTTGGCATTTGATGATGACGTTTTCGAGAAGGAAGCAAGATCGCTGAAGAACGCGTATTGAGAAACAGCCACTGTCTGTCAAGATGTTTATCTCAATCTCACAAATAGACAAAATACTACTGGCAATTTAAAAATGTGAGGAGACTACTTTATTTATCTAGTCCTATGTTCATGTTTCTGTATAGAAATGACATGAATACACTGAAAATTGACTGCCTTTAGGGGACCTGTAAAGACTCCAGTGATATCAATATTAGTTCAACGGATTTTATTTAATTAATTTGTGAAGTTTATAGATGGTTTATTTAAAATTTCTTTGTGAAATTTTTCTAACTCTGGTGCAAATTTGTCAGAGCGAGTCAGTTTGTTTGGAGGCGGAATTAGTCAGTTTTCGTCAAAGCTGATTCAACATCTGCCCACGTCACTGATGTAGATTCTCGTTCCCACAATATGTCAGTTTAAAGTGTTGCTGCGCTCGTTTAACTGTGATTCATAAAATTAGCCTCAGCCACTTGTGCTCAATTGCATAACTCTGTTGACAGGCTGTTTTGGATTGACTTTTTTTTGTGTTTTGTTTTCAGCAGCTGCCATGACAGGGGTGGGGGCAGAGGATGACATCCCTCTCTGTGAGAGGAAAACTGTCACTGACTTCTGCTATCTCCTGGACAAGTCCAAGCAGCTTTTCAATGGCTTAAGGTCAGTCTCTTGTTGGTGTCTGAGCATTTTGTTGTTTACTTGTCTAGGTTCTTATATTGACCTTGAGTAAAATTTCTTTAAGCTTTCTTACTTTATGGCTTTCCTTCATTTTTTCACTTTCTGCTGTCTTTTATTTTTCTGTCTTTCACAGTTTTTTTCACTTCACTCATTTAATTTCCCTAATTCATATTTCTTTCTTTCTTTCTTTCTTTCTTTCTTTCTTTCTTTCTTTCTTTCTTTCTTTCTTTCTTTCTTTCTATTCTGCAACGCAAAGATAAAGAATGAGTCTCCTCCATTCGGCCTCTTAACTTTCTCTTTACTTTACTTTTACTCTTTACTTTAGTCTTTTACTTTAGTGTACTTACTTTAGACATCCATTAGCCTACATATTTCATTTTATTTATTAAGCGCAAGGATTTGTTTAAAAATAATTTTTAAATTCAGTTCTAAGTTATAGGCTATCCAAACACACATCCTATTTTTATAGTCCAAAACCCAACAGGTGGACAGATCGAAACTTGTTTTTATTTAAACATTTGGGAAATTGAGAACATTTTTTGTTTGTTAGGATTGATGATGAAGAAGACCCTCTAATTACTATTGTGTAAATGAATACTCTTGTGTAAATTAATACTTTAATTCAATTTAGGTAACACTTTAGTTTAAGGAACAATTCACAACATTTATTACTAGTTTATTAGCTGCCTATTATTAAAATATTCACTTTTTATTAACACTTATAAAGTATGATCTAATACCTTATATTAACTATTAATAAGGTGCTAATTAGTAGTTTTTTAAGCTAAAAGTCTTAGTTAAAGGTTTGTTAATTGCATGATTTGTACATTAAAATAAAATGTGACTATAATTGACTTCATTCGTGCGTTTTGGAATGTATTGGATTATTAATTTTTTTTTTACATATGTTTTATAATGAAAATATTTTAAATGTATTTTTTGATTTTAAAAAAGATGGGAAAAGGAAAGAAGCTGATTGCAAATGTTTTTAAAAAGTAGAATGTGCTAAAAAGGAATGTAAAAATCTTTCTTTCTTTTTAAATTATTCAGCAGTTGTTTGGATTTGACCCTTGAATTGCTCTTCTTGTACGGCTTGTTTTCTGTTCTTGTAGTTGCCGTAAAACAGTCCTTTGACAGTGTAGTGACAGTGACTAATGTATGCATCAAATATGGTGACTTGCCTAACATTAGAATGTCTTATCACAGTTGAGACAACCTTATTTATTAACCAAGTCTAGTGGAGGCGGCCAAATCTTAATTAACCGACAGCAACTTCAAATGCATTTTAAATTTATGACAGCATTGAGCACATCGCTTGGGATGCACTCAGACCACAAAACTGATGAGAGCACCACTGTTAGAAGACAGCAACAGAATCTAAAACCTTCTGATGACTTGAAGCTCATACTGGCATCCTATATAAATCCTATATGGAAAAAAAAGCTGAATTATGTGAAACTTTTTCTGTGCAAGCTCTTTTACACAACACACGTTTATTGAAGTCTGTGTCAAAGGCCACACACACACATACAGTTGAAGTCAGAATTATTAGCCCCTCTTTGAATTTTTTAATTTTTTCAATGTTTTGCAAATTATGTTTAGCAGATTCAGGAAATTTTCACAGTATGTCTGATAATATTTTTACTTCTGGAGAAAGTCTTATTTGTTGTATTTTGTCTAGAATTTTAAAACCATTTTAAAAAAGAATTTTGAAACCATTTTAAGGTCAAAATTATTAGCCCACTCAAGCAATTTTTTTTGTTAGTCTCAGAACAAACCATCAATATACAATAACTTCCCTAATTACCCTAACCTCCCTATTTAACCTAATTAACCTAGTTAAGCCTTTAAATGTCACTTTAAGCTGTATAGAAGTGTCTTGAAGAATATGCAGCCAAATGTTATTTACTGTCATCATTGCAAAGATAAAATAAACCAGTTATTAGAAATGAGTTATTAAAACTATTATGTTTACAAATGTGTTGAAAAATCTTCTCTCCGTAAAACAGAAAATTAAGAAAAAATAAACAGGGGGCCTAATAAATCAGTGGGGGGGCCTAATATATCTTGCCTCAACTGTATACTATCACTGTGGCTATATTGAGTTTCCCCTCAACTTTAAGTGCCTTATCCAATTCTGTACACACTCAGTTCGGTAACTTCCAGGAGTGAGAACCACAGTCAACTAATAAAAATAATTGCTGAATGACCAATGCTGTTTCACAGCAATTTGTAACTTTTTTTATTAAGTGGTTAATTTGAATTAATTATTACGATCTCATTCGTACAACTTAATATGATCTGCTCATCCTCAATGAAGGTTGGGTGCCACACCTCCCTTTTAAAATAGAGACCCTGAGCATGCGCCAGTAGCGCCGCCACATTTGTACAGTGCTCCCAGCACAATTTCATTCAACCACACTAGTCATGACAGCGTGCCAACGTGAAGATGCTGGACTTTAGCGATGTGTATGGGTGTAGTATGAGCAAACAAAGAAAACAAAGGACAAAGGCAGAAATTTTCATTGGTGAGATTTTGTTTTTTATTTATTTATCAAAATGGCACAATGCCTCACTTACAATCACAATCATCAGCACTTTTAATAGCTTATTTTATAGACTTATAATATGCTGTTGTTCTACTGGAATTTTCATTCCAAAATGGCCGTCGCGCCATCTAGTGGCTGTTTCCCAAATCGCACTAGAGTGTGGCCTCTTGGTGATTCTAAGCTCTATGCTTCCGATCATAGATATATGTGTATATTAGGGATGGGAAGATTAACCGATATGTATCGATACGCGGTCATGCGCGTGCACGATGCGAGTGCATCGGTTGAGCAGCAGAGGATGAATGAAATTTTGGAAGCAAATCGAGATGCATCGGTTTTTGCGAGATACAGCTTATATTTTTAATATAGAATGTATTTTTTATTTATTAACAAGTGTTGTTAACCTGTTTTTGGCGCATAATTTAATCGACCTACATAAAGTAAGCCTTAGCAACGGATTTGCGGATGTGCACACACTACAACTCAATGTATCAGGTGTGCGGATGAAGCTAGTGGAGCGCCCTCAGAAAGCGCGAGAAGCAAAACAAACATTTTATTCCCCACTGAGTTTTAAATCTAAAGTATGGCAACATTATGGATTTAAAGATGGACGACATGACAGGACAGATGCAATCTGCAAAATGTGCCGCGCATCTGTAAAATACGCGGGCAGTCCGACTAATCTGACTTGAAGCGGCGCCACGGTGTTGTTGTGAAAGCATCTTCCAGTGTTTCTGCATCGCCGGCTTTCGCACTGCTTCAACCAGCTCCAAAAGTGGTGAGAAAAGCATTGCAAGTTTTTTTTTCCATGCACAACAGTTCTGCTCGCTCTACGCCAATAACGAATGCTATTGCATTGTTCATCTGCAAAGATATTCAGCCTAGTGTCACGGAGAACGAAAGTTTTAAACACCTCCTCCTGTTAATTTTTATTTAATTATAATAATATTAATAATAATAATGATAAAAATAATTGGGTGTCACGGTGGCACAGTGGGTAGTTTGACCACCTCACAGCAAGAAGATTGCTGGTTTGTTATATTTTTATCAGCCTGTTGTTTACAGTGATAGTGATGTTTCAAAGCAACATAACACTGCTAGTTCACGACCTTAAGTTTTGAATAATCAGTGGCAAAATATATCTTTGTAAAACTTGTTTTCATAGTTGAAAAGTTAAATCACAATTCTTGTTGTGCAATGCTAATATTATTTATGTTGAAAGAGTGCAAATATATACATTTATAATATATATTGCACTTATACATTCTGTTTATCTTGAAAATACTTAAATAATATGTGCTATATGTTCTAAAATGGCCCTCTACTGTAAACTGACACTCTGGCTCTGAGAGAAAAGCCAGTTTGTAAAAAAAAGTCTTGGTTTTGCTTGGTTTATAAATAATCAAACTCATTCAATGGCACAGCATCCTCTTTCACATAATCTCACAAACTTGATCTAATTAGTTAGTGCTGAATTATCGCATCGTATCGTGATATGGGTGTGAATCGTATTGTGTTGCATCGCAATATGTCACAAATGTATCGCTAATATATCGGATCGTATTCTTTGTATCGAGATACGTATCGGATCGGCATTATAGCTTAGATGCCCAACCCTAGTGTATATGTGTATATCTCTGGCTCTGGATGGCCACAGTCTTCCACTGCAGCTTGGTCCTGCATTTATTTCAAAGAAGCGTTACCCTGTACTAAAATGGTGGCTCTATTGACGCATTCCATCCAATAGACAACAACAGGGCTGGCGACATCTAATGTAAATATCTATGTATGTGAGCGACAGCGGCTGTTAGCGACCAGATGGGTGTTTCGAGTGACGCGACAAAGTTGACAATCCTTCTACTTTATGCAAATTAAGAGCTCACGTTATCCTCTCTCAGCTTGCTCAGTGGCTAATTATATTTCCATGCTGTAGACCTACACAGAACTTCATTTGCAGCAGGTCGCCACCCAGAGCGACAGGCAGCTAAAAAGTTGCTGCTAGTGTGAATGACGTTTTCTCATGATATCAGGCCGGAATGACTAATATACTGCACATGTAATATTGGCAATATTTGAAGTGTTGACGCTTAAAAACGCATTGCAAACTACCATCTTTTCAAATCAAAAGCTTAAATAATTATTTATGTATTTTGAAGTTTCTGTAACAATAATATTTTCCATCTTCATTGTAACAATAAATTTAATTACTGAATATCTGGATTTGTCTACACAGAACACACCAAAAGTGGAACAAAACAGTGCTAATTATTTAAACTTATTTTATGTTTTAGAAAGCCCTGCCAAATGTTATATTTAACGTTTGAAGAACAGGAATCTTTCAGACTTGATCATTATTGCACAGTGTTTGTGCTGACATGTTGTGGAGAAAGACAGTGCTGTTTCATTTGGCTTTAAGCTAGTTTAATTTGTGGT